TAAAAATTAATATATTTATGTAAATTAAACATGACTAACAAATATGTAATTATAAATTTGTACATTAGAGTTTTAAAAAAATATTTTTTAAAAGATCATCTAGTATATTTTTATAGTGACGAAAAATAGTAAAAAGAAATAAAAAATAGAAAAAATAAATAAAAAATTGAAAAGACTGTTTGGTTATTTTTAAAAATTTTTGGGGTTATTTTTATAATTTTTAAAACTATTAGGGTATTTTTTTAATCAAAACTAACAGAATTCCGTTAATTTAAACAGAAATTGACAAATTGGACAAAATCGGCTAACGGTTAGATAGTGTAGGGTAATATTGGTTAACCGAAAAAGAATAAGATAGAATTGACAACACATGTAAAGTTTTAGGTAGATCGGCCATTTTTCCGCTCATCGCCCCAAATTGTCTAAAGATTTTCCGGGATTAGAGATCTCAAGTTAAACTTTTCCCCCCCCCTTTTGAGGTTGTTTTCTATTCCCTGAGGACAGTTAAGTTTTACAATACATTTTAATCATGTTCGGTTAAAAATACTGCCCCAGTTACATGGGACTTTGATTAAGGCCATCGAGGAAATGATAGGGAAGGCATGGGCTTTGGAACTGAATCATACTTATCGAAATCAAATTTTGTGACAGATTATTTGATATCTTCAATAACAAAGACTTCAGAAAGATTCCAACGATTAATGGATCCACTTATTAACGTGGCTAGAACACAATATTATCGATGTCTCATGGTCACGTAATATAATTATTCAAGTTCTTTTATCGTACCAAAACAAAAAATTCACTTATTTAGGTACTTTGTCTCTTTTGTTGTACAAAAAAAAAAAAAAAAACTCAAATTCGTATATATGCAACAAATACATGTTAATGAATACATAAAAAGAGATGGATTAAATGGGAAAAAAAAAAGGCAATCATATTTTTAGTCTTCGAAACGTAGAACAGTTATAAAAAGTTTATCAAAATACACGGAAATTAACTTTAATTTGCGTGAAAGAACTCATTTCTGGTTACTTTGTGCTTTTCTATTAGTTATTAGTTCTTGTTTTCATCTTCTTTTTCTACGTCCAAATTGTCTTACTAACCACTTTGTATTAATTTAGAAAAGCGCCATCTTTCCATTCACATTAGAAGATCCGATTGGTTGGTGAAGTAACGAGTGAAAATACTTTCTTCACTTTTCTTATGTTTATTGCGAGGACCAAACCGCAGAATTCACATTCACCAGAAGAAAATAGTGAAAAATGTCAACTACAAAGTTCACGACAGTTTCTTTTATCTCAAAAAAAAAAAAAAAGAACGAACCTTGAGATTTGGACGCGGCAGTACAATTTGCTTAAGGCTCTGTTTGTAACAGTGTTTTAAATTATTTTTTATTAATTTATTTGCAGATCTAATATATTTTTTTATGTTCCCAACATAAAATTTCACACTCGAAAATGATCGAAGTCTTATCTGTTTGGTTTTTTTTTTCACTTAATTTTTTCAGAATCAAATATTAATAACTGTCTTATTCTAACATAATTTTTTACATTTTCAATACAATTTTTTACATTTTCAATAGAAAAACATCTAAAACACACACTAAAAAACAATCAAAGCATGATATCAATAACTCAAACCTTTTTAGCACTATGACCATGTGATACTGTAACGTTAACAAGTCAATATTACACTTTCTTAAAAAAAAAAAAATCAAACTTAGTAGATCCTACTTAAATGTAGGTAAAACCCTCTACAATCTTTGATGGGAATCGAATCTGGTTTATTACCAGAAAAGAAAACAACCTAACCACTAGACTGTCATTCAATTCTTAAGTCAATATTATACTTAAATTTAATATATTCGAGACAAATGGTTACTTTTCACAAAGCAAATCTTTTCCATCAATTTCATACTCTAGAGTCTAGACGCGTGTTGTTTAAGTTTCTCAAACCTTTCCATTCTTATTTGTTAGCCAAACTAAAAACAGGATAATTCAATACCAACGAACCCCATATACACATATGATATATTCGAAATTATTACCTCAACTAACGTGGACTCTAATCGGATAGTTCTTAAACCCTTAACCCACTAATTTGATCTATAGCTTAGTAGGTACAGTTTGAAAGATAGAATCCCTCTTAACCAAATTGCGTTAAATTTCAAAAATTAACACCATTGCTTAATATATAGAGTTTATATTTTCTCTTGTTTGAATTATATCGACCAAATGCCTTTTGTATTGGTCAAGATCTATATTAATTACTTGTGCACAAATTGCAAAAGTCGATGAAAGTTTGGAATTCTACAATTTAATGAGGCTGCGTGCCGAGAGAGAGGCAAATCTCATAAAACCAAGATAATTCACATTTTTTAATGATTAATACGGAGGGTACGTACCAGTTCGATAAACTGATAAAGCCCTATCAAATGGGGCATGTGACACATAATGGAGCAAATAGGTTTGACTTCTTTCTTGCTTGCTGTTTTAAAATTTTTTTATTTGTTCAATCTAATCAGCTTTGACTTTTGGGTTGAATTGACACTGCTAGATGAGCAGAATTAATTGCCAATAACATCTGCTGGACTGCTCCTACTACTGCTTTAATTGTGTGTGTGGCCACGGAAGGTTGCCAAAATTGACATCAAAATCGAAGATTCAACCCAAAACTGAAAAAAGTTCTTACCAATTTCATCAATCCATTATCTTTACGTTTTTCTCTTTTTTTTTTTTTTTTTACATATTGCAGGGTGTCTACCTTTAGCGATAGTTACTAATCCCTCTTGCTCATGGTAGGTACATCGATAAGTGGGAGAGCTGGGATTTAAGGTTGCTCTACGTGCATGACGAGATTCAAATCCTCGAACTATGATTAAAACTGGAGGAGTTCTTACCACTCTATCACAATCCTTTTAGTTTCTCCTCCGTTTTTTAAATTTAAAGACAACGTGATGCGTTAGTGCTTGTTTGGACGTTATCTTACATTTCATTTTGCCATTTAAAAGTAGAAAGTGTTTCAAGTTGAAAACTAAATGAAAAATGAAAATGTTGTTTGGATGGTATTTTGAGCACCTTTTAGACGTTGTGGCTAGCTGTTTGACCATAAAATGTACAAAAAGGAAAAACAGATATTAATCGTTTGAATTGAGGAAAACAAACCACTATTCCGTTTACCAAATTAACTAAAGGTGAAGTAGGTTTTTACTTAAAAATTTTATAGGTGTGGAAATTACCCGAAATTGGTCTAAATGGAGCGAAAATGGTTAATAATAATTAATAACCATTTCATAAGTCTCTTGTCGGTGTTGACTAAAGCTAGCGTAACCAAACCTATATTCGATCTTTTTTTTTTTTTAGTATTGAATAATAATTACTAAAATTCAGCCAAACATATACCTTCCAACCTATTTTTGATTCTTTAAAATCTACTTCCAAGCACCATTGGTAAAAAGAAGTTAGTTGCCGGGTAGCTAGCTAGCGTTCATGGGACCTTATGATTTGTACCATTAACATATGTTTGTTCCCACTTTGTTTTCCCCATTCCCATACATTTTTCTTAATGAATGGGTTATCAATAAGATTAATTATACTCCTAGAGCAATTAACTAGCTGTACGGTTGATGCGAATGCAATGATTGCTAAATTAAATAAGAAGATTATACTCCTTCCGTCTCATAATTATTGTTCAGTTTAAGTTTTCATTTTTAGTTCATATAGTACTCCCTCCGTCCCATAATTATTGTCCAGTTTAAGTTTTCATTTTTAGATTGATAATAATTATGGGACGAAGGGAGTATTATACAGTGTGAGATCTTTGACCTTCCGAAACAAATCCTAATAGACTGGCCAAATTTCAATTTGCACCAAAAAGAAGAGTTCATAGTAGAACGCTAGCATGACATGCTTGAAGAGTAGAAGCAAAAATGCTCTCCTAAAATATGCTTCATGGTAGCAAACCCCCGAAAATTATGGTTTAGGATTTTGGTGAGGTTTGACAGGAAAAAGCAATTCAGGAAAACCACTAGAAATAGGGAAACCGTTCATGTTCGTAGCATTCTCTCGTGTGTGATTTCTGGTTGAAGAAGATGAAACTCGAAAGTGCTTATAGGCACGAAGCACGATAATATAGGAGTATGAATTGTGGTGTTACACAGATAACATTACGAGTATATGTTTTTTTTTTTTAATTTATTTATAAAAGAATACTTATTCAACTAGAATTCATGATGAAAACAATACACTTAAACACATATTTCATCCATCTAAGAAAAATAATTCACATTTGGAGTTTGAAAATTTGTACTAATGAAAACAATATAAATTTTAAAATCAACTGTGAAATTTTTTTGAATCATAGGGAGTAGTATATCGAATAAAATAAAATATTCTCTTTTGTCTCAAGATGATTATCGATTTTTAAATATTTATTTTTAGCATAATTTGTATTAAGAGTTAAATTCCAAACTAGACTATCAAGGAAGGGAGTAAAAAATAACAAGATCAATGGGTGCATTGATTTTAGATTTTACGTACAGTTCTTAAGTTAATAGTATTGGGACAACCGAAATGTATTAATTTAGAGAATTATTAAATAACCTTCAAATTAATATATTTTTTTTTTAAAGAATTTTTTTAACAAAAAAAAACCATTACTAAATGACCTAATTTTTCATTTATCTTTACAATCTGAATCAAGCAAGCATTGAAAATTTTCTCAATATTAAAATTTATACAAGTTCATCTCATTTTCAGGGACTAAAAGACAACTATATTCATATTTAAATAAATATTTATAATATTATTTATTATTTTATTTTTGATAAATATTATTTAGAGTATTGTTGGGATCAATAGATATATAGAGATTTTTTTTTATAATTATCATATTTTATTATATTATCAACTTTGCTTCTTTTTTTTTTATAGATTATTAATTTAACCACATTTTATGCATTTACCATTATTCATTGTACTGAAAAAACCAGAAGCAAAAAAGAAGGGGCGAATGTAGAAGTCAATTGCTTTCGGTTTTGGGCCCCGGAAGAAGATCGATCCAACTAAATTAATGCTCTTAATCGCTGTACATAGGAATAGAATAAATTAAGCAACAGTTCTAATCTTTCTCAAACCCATCGTTCATCCGCAAATTATCATGCAAACGTGCAGTAAAATATTCATAATAATATCTCTAATCCCGTTTAACAGTACTGCGGCTAATTAATGAAAGTCGTCCTATAATAAATAATAGTAATTCTCGTATGATCTCTATAAATCCTGTCCAGTTAGAACCAAAAACGAAAACCAGATCTTCAATTCTCTCCTCTTATATAATAAGCAGTCAGTGCCAGTGTTGCTAATAAATATTGTCCTTTTATAACTTTCTGCAGTGTACCACTCAATCTGCCTTGTGTCTTTCTGCAGCTTAAAAGAAAAAGAAGAACAAGAAGACCAAGAAGTCCGGGCAACTCTCATGCAAAGAGCTTCTGCAACTTCCACGTCCTTTCTTCCACTGATATTCTGCAGCTTCTGCTACTACTAATTTTCATAGGTTTTACAACTGATCAGTCCAGACGAGTGGTTCCATCATTTCATGGCTCAGCTGGTTATGATGATATGGGCTTATACTCTCTGTTTCTCTTGTGCTCTGTTTTTATCATTATCAGTCGGATCTTCCAGTAATTCTGCCAACACCGCCTCGACCCAACAGCTACCTAATGGTTTCAAGGTCTCTGCAAATCCGAAAGTCTCTTCTTTTCAGCCTCTCATCACTGATTCCGATGGTAATTACTCTCTGGGTTTCCTTCGATTCAACCAAAATCAGCTCAATCTTGCGGTAATCCATGCTGCATCATCCGAGACTATATGGCTCGCAAACATGACCCCGTTGCCGAGGTGGTCTGATCACACCCAGCTCACCTTCAATGGCGGTCTGGCCGTCTCCGATTCAGGCTCGTCGGCGGTGTTCTGGTCGACTCCCGCCGTAAATGGAGCCAGAGTCTTCCTCTCCAACGATTCCAACCTCCAAATCCAAGCTTCCGACGGTTCGGTTCTATGGCAGAGTTTCGATAACCCATCAGATACTCTGGTCGAGAATCAGAATTTCACTAGTGCCATGGCGCTTGTTTCTGCCAACGGGATTTATTCCATGCGGTTGGGGCCGGATTTCATGGGTTTGTACGCCGTACTCAAGTCGGGTACGAATCCGGGTCAGATGTACTTCAAAAACAGGGCATTACAAGTCAAAGCGACCATCGTTCCGGGCCGGCCAATCTACCTAGTCCTCCAGTCCGACGGGTTTCTGGGTATGTACCAGAACGGAACCCGCCCCGTCGATCTCCAGCCTTTCAACAGTTACCAGCAACCGGTGTCGGGTGTCAGGCGGCTCCGAATGGAATCGGACGGGAATCTAAACGGGTATTTCTGGGACGGGTCAAATTGGATACTGGATTACCAGGCAGTTAAAAACAACTGCGAATTACCCAGCTCTTGTGGCCCATACGGCCTCTGCGAATCCGGTAAAGGATGTTCTTGTTTAAACAACCAATCCAAGTCGGATTCCGGCCGGTGCGTCTCTCCCGGAAACCACAATCTGGTCGACTTCTGCAGCGTCTACGGCAGCAAATACAAACCCTTAAGATACAACGGCGTCGATTTGCCGTACAAGGAACTAATGGGGTACCAACAAATGGAGAATTACGAGCAATGCGAGAGCGGGTGCCGGCAGAACTGCACGTGCTGGGGAATCGTGTACAGCAACGCGTCCGGGTTCTGTTACATTATCGATTACCCGATCCAGAGCCTGGTGACGGTGTCGGATGAGTCGAAGATGGGTTTTTTTAAGGTGAGTGAAGGTGTAGGGAAGAGTAAGATGGATATCGGGTTGGGAGTCGGGGTTGGAGTGGTTTGCGTGGCGGTTGTGGTATTTGGTGGGCTGGTGGGTTTGGCTTGGTATAGGTTCAAGAAGAATGGGACAAAAAGAGGGGTTAATGGTTATGTCAAAGAAGACGGTGTAGTTGGTGTTGGACCATACAAGGATTTAGGAACCGCCAGTTTCAGGTCAATCGAGTTATCAGCAGAAAGATGAGAAGAAAAAAAGAGAAGAGGAGAATTAATGAATGATGGCGTCAGGGATGATGAAAAATGGTTCGTGGAAAAGTTTCTTTTTTTTTAAAATCTGGATTGGAGATTGAGCCTTATCGAAGACTGCTGAAATGCTTTTTTTTTTTTTAATGGAAAAACATTATTTTAATGAGGGAGATGGGGACAGGCAGATGGAAATCGGAATAGAGGTCATCATCATGATTCATGGGAGCTCTAGAGACTGAAGCGTGGTTGATAAAGGCCATAATGATTCTTCCCAGCTGCACAAGTTGGGAAAAAGAACGGGAAGAAAGATGCAGGAATACTGAAAATGGATAAGAACCCGGAAAGGGACAAACAACCGCCAACAAACTATAAACAACAGCATATGGGTTTTCTTTCTTCCATGCGGCAGCGTTTGATTGATCATCCGTCCATTCCCTTTGAAGCAAAGTGGAATATGAACCTTCCCTCTCTTTTTTCTTTTTCCTTTTTGTGAATGTAATACTACTGATCAACTATATGATACTGTACTGTTGGCTTCTTTTGATTCAATGAGGTAAATGAGACACATCCAACAAAACAATGACAACATTTTTAACAATTTTTTTTAATTGAACAGTAATAAAAAAAAACTTTGAATTGAGTAGAACGTGTGTTAAAGCTCGTATGGGTCAAAATCAAAACAGGAAGATAAAGGTGTTTGAAACCCGTCAGGGCCCAAAACAGAAAAACAAAATAACAAGGTTTTGTTGTTATTCGGTCAATTTGATTTACAATTTAAATAAAATGAGAATCAAAATGATGATTTACCAAGGGATATGTAAACGATAATTTACGAATGGGTATCTAACTCGGTCGATTTGGTATGTTTCTAAAACGTCGCTGGGCCTCTGGAAATGGTCAGGAAATTTTGTACCAATGTGATATGTAATCCGGCCTTGTGTCTATCCAATTACAACAAATTAGTAAAATGTTTCCTGAGGGGATCTTGGACCAATCAGAACCCATAAAGTAAAATGTTTGTCTTCATATTTTGGGCTTCAGCAGAGACAAGCCCATACAACTTTCTTAATCTAAGCCTAAACTACTCTTAATAAACTTCAATAAAGGCCTAATCATGCAGTGAGTTATTGAATTGAGGCATCATGGATTTGCCTGTCATTCAAAGCCGCATAGATGGGATGACAAATTTTTGGAGTTTGGAGTTTGGTTTAAGGAATCTACGATGATGACTCTGCAGCAAAATCATATGGTGACATACTGACATGAGAAGTACTAGTACTTTTTACTTTAGCCTGGTGCATTTGCATGTCTTCATAGTTGAATGTAGCTGATCAGGAGAATGTGGTAAACAGTATTTGTTGGGGGTAGCTATTTCTCATTTATCTTTTTGGCAAAAATTAATGTAGTCAGCCTTAAACCAAACGCGAAGAGATTGCTCTAAGTTAATCGCAGTGCTAATAACCAACTAGCATAGCAAATTAGCAATAAAAGAAATACTTCCTCCGTTCTAAAATGATTCTCCAGTTTGAAATTTTACTTTTAATACACATTGTGTAGAACTTGAAAATCTAAACTTGACAATCAATTTTTTTTTTTTTTTTGGATATAATGAAAGAGTCAAATGTCTAAAAGACTATGATATTACGCGTTAATATGAGATACCAACAAAATTATGTTTCATCCATGGTTTTGCAGCCATTGTGGTTCTTCTAGCTGCAATAGACCTTCAAAGTTTGACGCCGCTAGAGATGTTAGCGAATTAGCAGCAAAATTCAGATCTCGATATATGTATTTCAACTCAACAGACCATGCCTTCTGTAATAAGTCACGAATGACCATGACAATCATTTTAAGACAACAAGAATATCTATATTTTAGAGGACTGATGAGAAATTTGTATGAAGATAAGAAAATGCTAGAGTTCGTCAACTGTTTTTGTATTTAGGTAGTTGGCGTTATGGTCTTGACCATATTGAAATCGCAACTAGTTCAGAAAATATTGGAAAAATTCTAGGTCGACTCTTTGGATGGATAGGGGTTACCATATAGTTAAATAAGAGCGACAACGACATTCTTCATACTACTGTATTAATTCTTTATCTTCAAAAACCAACAACCTTATCATTGAAGACTAGGTCATGTGATTTCTGGTCTGTAATTAATGTTCTTTTTTATCCTTGTTGCATTCCTTTTGGTTAAGAAAAATGTTGATTAGGTTGCCGCCCAATGCTATCTTGCGTTAAAATGCTGCTGCCAAACTGATTCTAAAGCGAGTACTAAATTAGAGCAACCTCGTTGTCCGATTGACGGTTACCTGATTCTATGATTTTGTCTCCTTCCAACCATTTAATTTTATCCTCCAAATACTACTACTCTTTCATACTGGGTTCAGGATAATATATAATGTTAGTGGCCCGCATTTTATTTAATTTTTTTTGAATTTCAACTACTCTACATTCTGATATATGCATCATATGTTTTATGGTTTTTTCCTTGTATGGAATAAGGTTCCACGAAGTTGACGAGCTTTTAAATGATACAAAAAGCAACCGACCATTCTCTTCTGTTGCCTTTAATTTATAAAAGATCATACTAAACAATTAGGAAAAAAGTCATACTTGTTCCGTCTCAAAATAATTTATAATTTAAAATTTCATTTTAATTTCAAATTATACTAAAAGTGAAAATGCAAATCGGACAATATTTGGGACATAGAGAGTAATAAATATAAGAATGTAGTAGTAGGAAAAGAAATTCCGACAGTGAGGGGACGAAACACTAGTTCTGGACTTCTTGCTGGTTGAAATGGTGGGATGAAATCAGAGTTGCTGTTTCTCATCTGTACGATGTTGGTTACAGTTTCTAAGGCTTATGGTTTCAGTATTACACTATATTACATAAAAAGGATTAAGAAAAAGTACGGAATTGTCTTCTTAATTACTAGTAGTCCCTAAATTTTACATTCTGATATGATTCCGATTAAGTGGGGGAAGTGATTGAAGAAAGACTTCTTCCCTGGCTTCTTAATGTTTTCGAACAGTGGTAATAAGGAGGAATCGCAACGTAATGCTCTTCACCAAAAGACAATGAAGAGAATATTCGAAAGGACTAAAGGAGGCGGAACAGACAAGCAAACATTCCAATATTAAACCCCAAAAGACAACTCAAAAAGGAGGAGAAAATAAAAAACCCAATCAAGTTCGTCCCGATGTACAAATTTGAACACTGGCGTGCCGAAAATCCATTAAACAAGTTCGTTCCAATGTGTCATTTTTTTGGGGGGGCTCGCGATCATTGAGGGAATGCTTCATCTTGAAATTTCACTGATCACCATCGATCACCATTTTCTTATAGGTAAAAAGTAGAAATTAATCTTTACATGTGTACCAATCAAATCATAATTACTGGCACTTCATTGTGGTTTGTGGTCCATTTTACTCAAAACATTTTGTTTCACTACATTCTTAACAGATGGGAGCAATTAATTAACCAAAAAGAAATAAAATATTAATACTAGATCCATTTTGTGAAATTCGGGATTGCCACAACTTTTGGGAGACAGTTTGAAGATGAAACTTCGTTTAGAATATGTTGCTTCCCTGCACTATAGTTAAAACTAGATAGACTGCAGGTACAGGACTCTAACATGCATGTAAATGGTCCCCGAACAGGATGGGTTGCTTCGTTTTCAGCTATAAACGAATCATAACTGCATGCCCTTCTTCTCTTCTGTCGTTTTTTTTTTTTTTTTTTGTGTGTGTTTAATAATTTAATCGAATTGAATCATTTTCATCTTTATTTTTATTTTTATTTTTGGTTAACAATCGAATTGAATCTTTTTGTCCCTATGTTTTGTTTATTCTGGAAAGTTTATCTGAATTGGGTGAATAATTAGTTCAGGGGTTTGTCTAGTTATTCTAGCTTCTAGGATTAGCTTTTTTTTTTCCTCATAGGTCTCATAAATAGAAGTATGGAACATGTTTCAAGCAGTAGTTCCTTTGTGGGGTGACTTCCTTTGTTTCGTTTTAATAAATCGCTTTGTACAACTACTAAAACGAAATAAGTGGAGCAGTACACATAAAGGTATCATCTAAAGATAAAGTGAAAATTTCAGATATATGTAAATTTACAAAATTGTTGTAAATAAGTGAATGACCAAAAAAAGGTCAAAACCTATAAAATAGATACAAGCAAAATTCAGGCATGTTGTCTATCAAATTTTCCCTATAAATATGAGTGCTCATGCAATGAAAATCTGGCACCAAAAATCTATTTTCATTCTCCTCTCTAATTTATACTTTTTCATGTTTTTTAAGTCCACAAAATATATTTCTTCCTTCCTTCATAAATCTTATAGGTTATCTCTTAATATTTAGACTATTAGAAAGTTATTATATTAAAGTCTCTAGTAGAGAAGTTATAAATAAATCATCTCTAATTAAATTATTAATACCTTTGCGTGGATCATTATATTTGGACTTTAGTTTTATAACAAAAATCGAGTTATCTTTTACCAAATTTTTTCAATATTGCTACATATTGAAAATAATACTGTAGTTGTTTTTAGTATGTACTTAATAACATTCAGATATGAGTTGCAGGTAGAATAAATAGGAACAATCTTTTATTTTAACTAGGCCTTTAATACTTTAAAAAATGGAGGGAGTAATACACTATTGCTTTGATTATGATGCCTAGTTAATACACGAAAAAATGGAATTCTATCTTGAGGGGAAGTGGTTGAAGTTCTCCTTGAAACAATTTTTTCCTTTAGTTAGCTAGAGTTTGGTGAATCCACTGTCCACAGCAAATCACGCAACTAAACTAGTTTTAGAAGTGATGTGGTTAAGAAATGACATTTGGAAAATGGTGAAAATAATTTGACAACATTTGTGCCTTGTTACTTCATGAAGGCAATCGAATCAAAGATATAGTTTTCTGTTTCAACATGATTATTTTTTTGTTGCATTAAAGCTGTACAATAAATATCGAAATTATTTTTGGAAGTTAGAATATACTACATCTTCTTTTAGCGCTAGAGTTGGTGAATCCAAAATGTCTACAGTAAAACAGTTTGAAAAATAAAGTGGTGATGAAATTGCTAAGACTAGTGGGTAAATAAATCCCGGATCAAATGTAAAACGTACGTATGACGACATTTGTGTGTTTTACTTCATGAACTCCAAGTGCAAAACGGAAACGAATAAAAGACTCTAATAAAACATAGACTACATCAATCGCAAGTTTTTTTCCCCCCTAAATGATTCAGAAATGAACCAATCAATTAATGACAACGATTTGTACCAATATAATTAACCATATGTCGCAATTGATGTCACTTGATGATGAGCCGATTTTTTGCTTAATTTTATTTGTTAGTAAGGGTCGCGTGGATATGCAATAACTTGTTTGATTGATTCTCATGTTTTACCTTTTCTTATAGAAAAAAGAAAATTAGAAAATGAATAAAAAAAAGGTAGTAGTACAAATTTTTAAAAATATGTGTCAATTTCTCGGAAAACCTTGTTGACTTTTCTAAATTCCATAACGTTATCATCCAAATTGGTCCAGCTGCCTTTTTCTAAGATCGCATAGAGAAGTATCGAAAGTATTTTGATAAGACCATAACTACAAGATGAGATTGTTATAGTATTCTATATTAATGTTCTGTAATAATATATTAAAATTCTAGAATATTTTTGTATCATTCGTTATTATTTATGTAAAGAAAGAAATCATTTTGATAAGACTTGAAAATCGTTGTCAATATGTTATTCTTATTATCATCGAGGAAGGAGGATTAAAGGGTGGCTAAGGAGCTGAACGCATCATTGTCAAAAATATGTAATAATAATAATAAAAAAAAAAAGACACTTATTCTTCGTTCATTTTGGCTTTAAAGTCTGTAATATATTATCTTCAATTTTTCACAACTGTGTCTAAATCGATACGATCTTATCCGAAGTGAAATCATGATTATGATTAAGAACCTTTACAAATTTTGGCATTCAACCGTCGGGGCTTTCATGACATACGCTTCATTCTTATTGGTATCGGAAAATTGTGAAGACGTTTGATTTAGAAGATGATGCCAGATAGCATGTAGTTGCTGAAAGAATCAAAGATACGTACGCTCGCTGAAAATTTGTAAGAAACATTTATATGAATTAAATAGCAGTCTTATTTAAGGTTAGATTTTAATTTAACAAGAAGCAAAGCTATCAATTTAAAGATACACCCACGAGAATTTTGTAAGAAAAAAATTCATAGGGAATAATTTGATATAATTAAATAATGGATCAAGATGCATAGTTACAGCTTTCTATATATACACCTGGTCACCCCTGAAGTTGTTTATCTATTTAATGTTAAATTTTAATTATTAACAAGATGCAACAAAAGAAGTGCAAATCTCTCCATCAATGAAAAAAAACAAAATATACTTTCACTGAGAATGATTGAATAGAATCAAAACAATATCAACAAACTCTTGGTCTAAGTAGTAAAGGTATTAGATCAAATTAATTATAATTCGAGATCATATCCGAGCGTGGTTATGCAATAATGATAAAAATAGTTATTGAAACTTGAGAGAATGTTATCTCCTTAAAGAGATCCACCTGACTCAGGCCTGTCCCTGAAGGGGGGCGAAGAGGGCGACCGCTCAGGGCTCAACTCTAGAGAGGGCCCCAACCTACTTAAGATTATTTTTATTATAGTAGGTTGGTTATTGTTTTAAAAATATAAAATAGTTAAAAAGGTTAAAATTTTTAAAAATCCTTCAAAAAACGTTATATTATTGACAAGAGTTGAATTATTAATGATTTTGAATCTTAAATACTCACAAGAAATTAAGCAACTATCCAAATAGTTTATTGAGTGATTGTATGGTAACTATATATGCTTTTATATTATTTCTCTCTAAAATTTTGGAGAAAAAAAATTAGGGGCTTTCTTTCTGATTATGCCCCTAGGTCTACTGAGCGTTAGGATCGGCACTGACCCGACTCTGAATGTAAACTTCGAACACTACGTGTATAATATACAGAATAAAATCAAAGCATTCAAACCCGTATCTTCCTTATAAGGTGATGTTACTAATAAATTTGAGGTGATAGAAAAAGGTGCATTTTGATGGAGCTGGCTTGGGCATGATTTATGCCCTACACATGAATTGAACGCGTCCATATGTACATGATTGCAAATTGCATGCAACTAAGATGGCTATCTTTTTTCGTCGCTGTATTTACTTCATGAAAATCGTGCAATCAAGATCTCTTGTTAACGTTTCAGCAACCAAGTTTTCCATTTTGGCTTCGACCTAGGTCCATCTTACATACTCACACTCTCAAGTCTTTTCCTTTTCAATTTCCTCAACAGGAAAGTAGCGTTTATTGTAAGTTATAACTATCAAATAATTCAATATAATGATATAAATAAGTACAGGAATTCAAGTTGCTTATCATGTAAGCGTGACAATTTTCCCACCCTAAATTCAGACAAGCTTTTAAACCACTTCTGTTTTAAGTGTTGTTTTCATAGTACTTCTCTTTTGGAAGAGGAGAAAACGTGAGAATCATATGAACTCGAAATGTCTGTTCAAAATACGGTAAAATGATGTTACATTTCTATTGGTATTGAAATTTAAACTATGTTACATTTAGAATGAGAGTAACACGCACATGGTGTTAAAAAAAAAAAAAAATTCTCTGAAAGCAGGAAATAATGATGGAGTAAAGCAAACCGATCAAAATCAAAACAGAGTTTTTTAGAAAGAATTATTGGGAGTTTTTTTTTTATATACACACATATATATATATATATAAAAGTTTGTGAGTTCATTATAAGGTCAGTTGTTGCTGATGGCTGTCCGAACAGTCGTTAAATTTCTGGGCCCAACTCTCCCTATCGAAATATTAATCATCATTGGTTGCACATGTAACTCAAAAGCGTCAGTCGTTCTATCCTCATTGGGTTTCCTACTTCCCTTTGCCCGATCCACAAAAGAACAAAAATGAAAATGGAAAAATAATATCTATCTTCGTCGAGTTTTAACTTACCAGTTCAGTGCCTTACTGTTCTTGATGCCAATAATCTGCAAAGAAAAGTGTTACAAATGAGAGATTTACAGCTAAAATACCCGAAGCAAACAGAGTATTTTGGGTATGAAAACTATATAAAATCTACCTAATCTTTACTTGCTCTTTGTCCAATCCGCCAATACAAAGTCGTCGATTAGTTCAAAGATACCTTGTTAAGTTGTTAAGAAGACAAAACTATTTAAAAATTTTCAATACTTAGATAAAGTCAAAACAGATACAATAGCATAATATATTTCCCCTCTGTATTTTTAAATTTTTTTTTTAGTATATTAGCACCCGGTATCTGAAGTCATTTCTCCCTCTGTATTTTCATATTATAAACCACAGCATATTTTGGGATGAAAAGAAAACATAATTTTTTTACTTGCAAATTAATTTATATTTATCATAGGATATAATAACACGCATGACCTGTCACTGAAAACGTTACATGATGTAAATTAAAACCTTAATTAATGGAGGCTCTCCATTCTTCTCACGAAACATATGTACTACAAGGTATTACAAAATGGAAACATTATAGTAATCCTTTAAAAATGCATTAAATTAGATGACATTCTGGCTTTTAAAACAGGGATTCTAGTACTCTTTTCTGTCCTCTTTTTTCTCTATCTGCTGTTAGAGCGGTTACAATGTATCCAATAAGTCACTGAGAGCAACTGTTTGGAAGAAGAAAGGCACATAATTTCACAATTTCAAGCTTCCCATAAGCTTCCAATTTCTTCATTTTCCTTCTTCCTTCAGCAAAGTACAAACATAATCGCCGAAACCCTCCTCCAGTTTTTGTCCTCTCCCTCTTTTTTACACGGGCAGAACAATATCATATATTCACAATCTGGATTATTCACCCACTGTCTGACTGCAAAAGCACGGTTTTTGAACGGGGTTTTTGGTCTGAAAATGAGAAATATAACGGCTTGTTACAGCGAACATGCGATCAAGGTATCAAATTCCTACTGTTCAGGGGCTTCCAATCAGGTTTATCTCTCCCCAAACTTGATTCCTTCTGTTCAAAACGCTGTCACATGTATATACAGAGTCAATCTCTCTGCACAGAAGCCGTTATTCATCAGAATTACGTGGTCCAACTCAGTAACTCAAGGCTTTTCATTAGGTGTTTCCGATGATTCACGCAGTTTAAGCAGGAATTTGAGGCAATTAAAGAAGGCCAAAGGCACTAAAGCCTTCGATTGTTGCAATTCGAGTATTGAAGTTTTCTGGGATTTGTCCCGAGCGACTTATGATCTTGGCCCGGAGCCAGTTAGTGGATTTTATGTTGTAGTCTGGGTCAGTTCAGAGCTTGGTCTATATCTCGGCGACTTGGAAGAAGAATTGGACTGCAAGAATGGCTCCTCTGTTCTTGGTGAAGTTGCAAACTTTTCATTGGTTTCTCGCAGTGAACATTTGTCAGGAAATGCTCTGTATTCAACCAGGGCTCAATTCTCCGATGGAGGAACGTGTCACGACTTAGTGATCAAATACTCGGGACAAGATACGGGTTCGAAATGCGCGGAATTAAATGTTTCCATCGACAAGAAGAATGTGATCCAAGTGAAGAGGTTACAGTGGAATTTCAGAGGCAACCAGACAATCTTTGTGGATGGATTATTGGTGGACATGATGTGGGATGTTCATGATTGGTTCTTTGATCCGGCTTCTGGATATGGGGTTTTCTTGTTCAGAACAAGAAGTGGTTTTGATGGCAGATTATGGTTAGAGGAGAAAATAGTGGAGCAAAAAGACCAAGAGAAAATTGGATTCTCATTGTTGATATGTGCTTGTAAGGCCTCTCACTAATCATTTCTTGTCTCTCCTCTCTTTTTTTTTTTTTTTAATTGAGGTTCCTACACCAAAATTTAACGGTTTTTCCCTTTTCTGGGTTGACTTGGTTATTGTGCCAGATGCATTGTTAAACCTTAACTATCCATATACTTACATATGAATCCGATTTAGTTGGAATACTAGACAAAAATCACTTTGATATGCAGAAGTTGTTGATCTGAAGTGTCTGTTTTTATATGAAATGGCACTTCCACTTGTGAGATCAATGTAAAGATCATTTCCCAACCTATATATTCTATTAATGGATGATCCTGATATGTACAGTTTCCATTCTCTTGCGTTTATGTATGGTTTTCCATTTAAAAGATTACTTCTTTCATGTTAGTCTCACAATATCTGCCTTGTTAAAACCAATGTTGAAGTTTGTCATTATAATTTGATTGTATCTTCCGCTTTTTTACCATGCGGAAGTTTCAAAGTAAACCAATAGAATTAGTCTTTTCTCTTTTCTTTTGTTTTCTTCGTTTGCTTGTGTCATAAAGACAATCCTAATGAAAAAAAAAAATGCAAAAAGTTACTCTCCTGAAATGGAATGAGAAGAGTCGTGTTTTTAAGGACTTGTTAAATTTACAGCACATCATCATCAGAATCTTTAAATCTGACAGCGCGAATGTTCTAAACTCCTCCTCTGCAATACTTTCCCTGGAGCAGGGGACAAGTCCTAACCTACCGGAAAGCTAAGTTGTTTTGCCAGATCAAAGATCAATAGAAAACATAAAGAAAGTGAGAGAATTAGATTCTTAAACCAACAATGACCAAAATGCAACCTTTTTTTGCAACTTTCAGGTTACAGTCTGTCTCATGACTCCGTTAATTTGATCTATCTGCATGACCTCTCAATTAAGAAGAGATTATGGCTAAATTCCACAAAGTTAAACCTTAAAAGGATCATCGGTGTATTGCTTCAAGAAAACTAATGAGACAAAAAGCAAGAAATTACTTTTAGGCAGGAAATACAACAGAATTTGTGAACCAATTCCATGTTTCGTCAAAATAATACGTCTGAGATATTATAAAGACAAGTCGTTGTTCTTTTTTTAAGGTCCAATACTCCAAAGGCTCCAAGTCCCCCAATTGGATTGTCCTGTCATTTTCTAATCTTTTGTTTTTCCACTCTCCCTAACACCCCAAGTATTGGTTGGTGGTTAAGAAATTCGTAGTAAATAGATATGACTAAACTCTGCAAAAAGATTAACCCAATTTCTCCATCATCCTTTAGCTGTTTAATTTAATATAATATGACCTCCTGGAATTATGATTTCAGTGGGGGGGTGGCGTTCAACAAGTTAACCAACCGATTCTTTTAATCAGTCACTTTCCATGGAGTTACAAATACTGGAAAGTCCAAAATAGCCGCCTACTAGTTATCAGTAGTCACACATTCCAGATTATAGATTATCGACTAAATTTTAAAGGCGGCAAAAAAATTTCTTTTTGTTGATATTTCTAGTCGAATCCGGCAGAAGAAATACCGGCCTATTAACCAACATAAAAATCTTTTATTACTGCACTAATTTTCATAATCGGACTAGCTGCTAGAGTTAGTTGCTGGTTTCGCAGGTCATTTGATCGTCTTTCTATTTTTTAGGCAAACCTAGGTGGGTTGGGTTGGGGGGAGTTTGGCAGGTGCAGCCATGAACAAGATTCTAAGGTCATTCCATCGGTACCATATTCACGCCGAACCGATCATAATAAGTATTTATTCCGTTCTGAAATGATTGTTCAGTTTGAATTTTCATTTTTAGTTCAAAGTTACTTAAAAATGAAAATCTAAATTAAACAATAATTTTAGAATAGAAGAGTGTGATAATTTTAAGAACGTTATTATGTTCGATAAAGTACTTTGGGTTAAACGAGTTAGCGAAGTACTTGCACCGTCAACAAAACTTCGGATAATCATTCTTTCAAGTAGTATTCAACACGAAATAAAAAGATCCTTGTAGATATACGTTTTCACCTCTAAGCTCGAATTTTTATTTTTATAGTATAAATAGTATCTATGTTGTTCCAAAATAATTGTTAATAAAAATTCAAACCGAACAATTATTTAGAGACAAAATGACAGTTCAACCGATCGGGCAAGAGCAGATCGACACACTTCCCGATGGGCTGATTAGAATTGTACTTACAAAGCTCACGGAAGGATGCGGAAGTGGTGGAACCACCGGTGGATGGCTTTGAGAGGCTGGCCCTCTCAAGGCTGAAATAGTCAGAGACTCGGAGCGTCTTTTCTCAAGGGAAGCGCCATACCCATTAGGCCATAATAAGCCGCAGAAAGCATACAAAACCCACGGAAAATATATTTGGTTCTGTCAATTTCCCCCAATAGCGACAGCGAGCCCATGTTCTTTCAGATTGTAGAATCAACCTTGATTTTCGTACATTGCTTGAAGGAAACTTTTAAAAGGAGGGCCTTAGGCAGAGTCTACGATTGGCTACAATATTGCTGGGCCAGGAGGACCTTTGTGCCTCGTGAAAGCCCAAGTTTATTGAATAAGAGAGGGCATTGAAACTCCACATTCCACATTCCGTATTTTTTTTTTGTCTAGAGCAATCTTGTCTACTGAAAAAGCCCACATGAAATATCAACAGGTTTTGGATTAAAACTGTATCACACCTGAAAAGAATATTACAAGAATATTCTAATGGCTGATTCGCCTAAGGGACACTGCAGGGAACAGGCGAAATATTCTAATGGCTAAATACATTAAAAAAAAAAGGAGAAGAATTTGATTGTTGAATGCACCTAATATACAAATGATAAAACTATGAGGAATTAGCAAATTGAGGGTAGGAATTCATATTAGGATGTCAAAATCATGATAACGCTGATATATTACTTACAAAAACAGTAATGCCGACTGACAGAAACTATAGATTATGACAGTTAAGCTTATAATTACTATTTAAAGTTTTTTTATTAAAAAAACAAATAAAAAATTGGCATTTCCATGTTTACTTTCCAATGTCGCCATTGTTGCTCAACAACATTGTTGATTCTAATGTATCGTACTTCTCTTTTTGGTCAATAGATGACAAAGTTGACTGCGAGTATTAATTTTATTCTCTTGAAATGAACTTGATCACTACTGTGCATCAACAAATTTTTACACCATTTTTCTCTGGTCATCGGGGAACAAATTATAACTTATTTAATCGTATGAATAAGTTTAAATGTGCGTGTGACCATTAATAGTGTAAGTTATGTTCTTCGAGAGCACCTAGCAAAGCAATTTTTCTTTTGCATACGTAGGCTGTTTTTTTCAATCAAAAGAAAGGTGATCATCATAAGTAAAGATTCCGATGAGAACTTATTAGCGGGAATAAAGGGCCGATGGAATAGATGCAACAAAAGGGAAGCGATCTTTATTGTGATGGGCATCTTTAATAAATTCTTACCCACCAATAATGCATCGATCGTTTTCTTTTAGAAAAATTAGAAGTCGATCAGTTGTAGTGTGGATGATGGCGTAGTATAAACATCATTAGACATGCTGCTACTTCTTTAGTAGTGACCTAAAAGGCCTGCCTTGCGTTTTATTGTTTTCGTTAATTCTTGCGTCAACGATGACTGGGATGTTCCTTAAAACTATTGTCCCCATACTACCTTGTAAGTGCATATATATGACGAGGAGGGAGGTTCGTTATGAACTGTAATCGTGCTTACTCTTTCTCTTTAAAAGTGACCCAATCATTGTTTTATCGCTCATTTAAAACTTTTATATAAATCCAATTTTTTGTGTGGGAATTGAATGACAGCCTAGTGGTTAAGTTGTTGTCCTTTCTGGTAATAAATCAGGGTTCGATTTCTGCCAAAGGTTGTAAGGAGGTTTTACCCACATTTAAGTGGGATTCACCGGGTAGATTTTATTTTTTTAGAAAAATCCAGTTTTTGTGTATTAATGACGAAGAAATAAGTAAACTCACGGGCTCTTTATTAATTGAATGAATCAATTTTATAGGGAACTAGACTGGCAATACAGAAGCAAGAAGTTTCCTTAATTAATATGGACAACTATGTAGCTTCAGACCTTTTTGGTTTTTACCACATAGTAGCGTGTGATTAATTTAGTTGGACTTTCTTCATATGCACAACAATTATTTAATATTATTGGAAAAAAGGGAAGTTGTAAGTTTTGTCCATCTCAAGATGAAGAGGTCTAGAAGGCAGAGGCAGTTTGAATACGGTGGAATGTTGAAGAGGACGGCATGAACTTTTGGATTCCACGATTTTTCATTGGTAACTAAAAACAGCTAACCTGGCCGAGAGTATCTTGGTAAAACAAGGGAGAATTCAACATGTTGTATGTGTTGATTAGTCTCCAAAATGAGTACTGATTATATGGATTTCGAAATTAATATCAGAGTCAGAGACCATGTTCAAGCTTAATTATAAACAGGGTAATTGAGGAATTAAGGACGTCAACTTTCATGCGGTTCAGCGGCGCCCTTCAAAAGGAAACTCTGGAGCATGGACGAATTTGCCAAATTGTAAAAGGACACCAAAACTATAACTTTGGCGTATTATGGTCAATCCTCCCAATGAAAAGTCAAATCCCCCCCCTGAACATAGTGACATACCCCGTCTTGTTCTGAACTCAAAAGGGTGGGACATGTCGATAAATGGCACTTCTTGCGGATCACTACCAGGAACTATCAAAATAAAAAATAAACACTCGCAAATCTCAACGTCTCAATATCAAGAAAAAAAAGTTAAATTAGAGTTTACTTCATCATTCTAAATAAAAGATGTAAAATACATTTTCCCAATCACAAACTACTACTGTAATATTTATTTATAAATTAAGTAGATCATATTTCAGTCATTGATTGATTTAACATAATTTACTATAAAAAGAAAAATACTAACGGTGAAACTAAGGGTATGTTTGTTTTGTTTTTTAGTGTGTGTTTTTAGGCGTTTTTTGTATTAAAAATGTAAAAAAATTTGTTAAAAATGTCAAAAGTTATGTTAGAATGAGACAATTATTAATAAAATAAATTACAAAAAATCATCAAAAAAAATCAAACAAAAAAAGAGGTGTAACAATAATAGTAATAAAAATGCAAGAAAGGGAATAAGTACAACGGTAAAGCAGAAAAAGGAGAGCAGATGCAGTGCACGAGAATCATGATGGACAGGTGTGGAAAAAATCTGACACTACTACCAGTAACGTACCACACAAACCCGCTAATTCCAGTCTCCACCAATACTAACAACAACCGCAAAATTAAATCCGCCTTTGTTTTTTAAGGTGACGGCCCCTTGGTTTTTTATTAATTGTGCACTTTTAATGATATATTTTTTTAAAAAAATAAATAAATAAATTACACAGTTAACCTTTTCAAGCAAAACAGCTACTGGATTTTTACGAGTGGATCTTTCAGGAACAGCCATCATCCATCACACGAGTTTCTTCTTGCGTAGGCCTCTTTTTTTTAAGCTTTGATTTTGACTCTTCCCCGTTTCAGTACATGTACACATCACCTAATTCAAGGGCGGTATTTTGAATGTGACTAAGTACTTTTCAACCAAACTATAAATCAGTACTACAATACTACAATATTATCAAAATTTTTCTTTTCTTTTTTGATAATTGAGTAAATGGGAAAATCGATCCATGGATTCACCCAACGTACATTTGAGAGCACCCCCACCTACCCTCTCACATTGTTTGCAAGTGGGATGGTTCTAATTACATCACTAACCCGTCGCATTTTCCATTAATTACCAAACTTACCCTTGGCTTTACTGCTTGTTCACCCCTAAAATAATCAATGTAGCAATTGATACAATTAGAAACCTTTTATATGTAAATTTAGTAAGTTTGGTTCATGAGAACGCATTTGTTGTTGTAACACCTTCTTAATTTACGATTAAATAATAGTTTACTTCTTTGAGAGAAAAAAAAATGAATAGAAACCTTTTATAACACAATGTATGATTCAATCACGCTATATTACTAGTATTTTGCTTATAGATCCCGTGTTTCTCAACGAACACATATTTCCAGTCCTATAACTTTTTGTAGTAGTTGTTGTATTTTATTAAGAATTTGCACTTTCATCTGCTTTTTTTTTTTTTGTCTATTGGGTTTGGTGGCGACAAATCCAAGAACCATCGTTGCACTACTTTGAGCATATATACATAATTAATTTAATTATTATTATTACTACTATTATTACCACTCATTATCATAATCTCGAATTAAATACAGTACAGGACACTGATGCTTTGTTCTATAGAGTTGATATTAATGCTCTAAGTTAATGATTTTTTTTCCAATAATATACGTACGTCAATTACTGTCCACTTATGTTGGATAAACCAGTATTTAATTGCGAATATTGTTGTTATTATTATTATATTACCCAAAAAATGAAAAAATTAACACAAAAAATTGAAAGAATAATAATAATATAAACCGACATTAGGAGGAGGAAAGGAAATTGGGGTTTTTCTTGCAGGAGGGGTCGATAATACTAATCGTAGCGATAATATCGGCAACATCACCCACGCGGGCCTCCATCCCTTAACCCTTCCTCTTTCGCCTATATATTCTTTCTCTTCTCTTCCCCCTTTTCCCCCATCCTCTGTTTTCTCCGGTTTTTTTTTTCGCTTTTCACTCTCAAAACCCATTTACTGTTCTTCATTTCCTCCCCGCTATTAGTCATGTCGGCCTACAACGGCAAGTATACCGGTTAGTTCCTTCCCCTCTCCCTCCATGAGGCTTTTTTTTTTTTTTTAATTGATTTCTGTTACGATGATGAATGGTTGTTTATGGCTGGATTTGATTTCGAATTATTCGCATCGCCTTTTCTCTTTTGATTATGGTTATTTTTTTTATCCAATCTTTAGATCTGGTACCGATTATGGATCTTACTCCATATTCGAGTGACTTTGATCTGTTTGATAGAGTAGCTATGTATTGCTTCTTTGATTGTATCGCCGTCATATGCAAATTATTTTTCTTCTTGTGATCTCGTCGATTTTTGGACTAAGCCTGTACGAAGCCCTTGTTTTGATAAGATTTTGTTTGGTTCGAAGTTTATATTTGTTGAATCTAATAGTCGTAACCTTTGCGATGCTGACTCGGTAGTGATTACATGCATGACTGTAGTTTGATCTGTTTTAGATGTGGAATTATCTCTGTATTCTCTCAGCATGATCAAATCTGATACATCAGAGCTATTACTTTGGTAGGATTTGTTTCAATTGCTAATCGTGTTTGCTCGTGGGTAGAATTTGAGTATAAGCCTTGGTTTTATCGAACTCGTATTGAGTATAAAAATATTAATTGGGTATCATTTTAGGCCTTAGGTTCTGGATGAGATCTGCTTTTTTGATGCACTTGTATCTTGGTGTGCATTCTGTTTTCATCTGTAATTAGGTACTTGAAAACTTTGTGGGTTGTCATGATATCTTGGCTATGTATTTTATCTGTGGATTTTAGTATGCTGTATTGATGTTATTTGAATCGGTGCTGCAGAGTACATACCTGTTTGGTGATTTTTAATTTTGGTTTCCAGTTTCTGTTAATCTTATCATCTCCCTGATCGTGCAGAGGAGCTGATTAAGACTGCAGCTTACATTGGTACGCCTGGTAAGGGTATCCTTGCTGCTGATGAGTCAACTGGCACAATTGGCAAGCGTTTGTCCAGCATCAATGTGGAGAACAATGAGTCTAACAGGAGGGCTCTCCGTGAACTCCTTTTCACCACCCCTGGTGCCCTTGAGTGCCTCAGTGGAGTTATCCTCTTTGAGGAAACTCTCTACCAAAAGACTGCTGCTGGTATGTTTTCAGAAGTATCCAATTTGGCTTGTTTAAAGTTCATCTGGTGTATTCAATTTGCTGTATTGTATTTACTAATTTGTGTTTGACATATGTAATTTACAAACTTGTGTACCTTGTTGTTCAGGCAAGCCTTTTGTTGATGTCTTGAAGGAAGGTGGAGTCATCCCGGGAATCAAGGTTGATAAGGGTACAGTTGATCTCCCTGGTACCGATGGTGAGACCACCACCCAGGGTCTTGACGACCTTGCCAAGCGCTGCCAGGAATACTATTCTGCCGGTGCCAGATTTGCCAAATGGCGTGCCGTGCTCAAGATTGGACCCAATGAACCATCCCAGCTTGCTATTAATGAGAATGCTAATGGACTGGCCCGATATGCTATCATCTGCCAGCAGAATGGTTTAGTACCAATTGTTGAGCCTGAGATACTTGTGGATGGTTCTCATGACATCGACAAGTGTGCTGATGTCACTGAGCGGGTTCTTGCTGCATGTTACAAGGCATTGAATGATCACCACGTCCTTTTGGAGGGTACTCTCTTGAAGCCCAACATGGTGACTCCTGGATCCAAATCCGCCAAGGCTACTCCAGAAAAGATTGCTGAGTACACCGTCCGGGCATTGCAGCGCACCATGCCTCCTGCTGTCCCTGCAGTAGTATTCTTGTCTGGCGGCCAAAGTGAGGAAGAAGCTACACTCAACCTTAATGCCATGAACAAGCTTCAGACCAAGAAACCATGGTCCTTGACCTTCTCCTTTGGACGTGCACTGCAGCAGAGCACCCTCAAGACTTGGGCTGGAAAGACAGAGAACCTGCAGAAGGCTCAGGCTGCATTCCTTGCTCGGTGCAAAGCCAACTCTCAGGCCACTCTGGGGAAGTACGAAGGTTCCAGTGTGCCTGCAGAGGCTCTTGAGAGCCTTCACGTCGAGGGCTACAAGTACTAAGTCAGTTTTGTTATATTCTAGTCTCTCTTATTACCTTGTTTTTTGAGAAGAGTACGATTCTGGCAGGCTCTTAGGTTTCTTGTGAACTTTCTAAATAGCTTGTGGTTAGCACACTGGCTTTTGTAATAAGCTTGAGAACTAGGGTCCTCTTAATGTGGGGATGGTATGGTTGCTTTATGTTTCATGTTGGTTTTTCTTGTTTTCTAAAGATTGCCTTTCCAAACTCAAGTCGAGCATGGTTTTATGATCAATTGAATTGTGAGATATGATCATGAGGAAGAGATCTTCATATAGAATATTCCTTTTTTTTTGAAGTTATTGCTGCCTGAAAAACTTGTCTACTACCTGAAATACCTTTAATTGGATTGCTATGGTCCATGACAAATCTGTTTTTGAGCTTGGTCTTTGGCTGTATATGTCTTTATGATGGACCGCTTGTTTTGTTGATCTCGTGGGGAGTGGGAAATGAATTTTCTTCGCAAATGACCTGTTTCTTTTGTCCTTGCTCTTTTTGTACGAGTGTTATGCTTCTGGATACCTACGTAGGACTGATGTGGAAGGGAAAGTGTGACTGTGAGTTGTGACTAGGACTTGGAGAGAAAAGTGTCAAATCTCATTTTCTGAACAAAAGATCTGTCCCAATAATCAAAACTATTGTCTTCAAGAGGATAATTTGAAATTTAATAGAAATTTGTCCAAGAATGAAAATCCAAATTGGACAAACATTTTGAGAGGAGTATAACTTAAAAAAATTTCAACCAAAGGCCTTCTGATATAATTTGCTTTAAATCCTCTGCTTGGATTAATTGGCTGTTCTCTTTTCTAAAGGGCGATTTTAATCCAGAGTCCAATGCATAATTCTTGGTTTAATTAATCTTTCATGTATAAGTTTTATTGTTTTGCACTTAATCATGTGTTGCTGCCATAATATTAAAGCTCTTGGATTCTCGAAAAATCATAGTTTTGGACCACCATCCCATGGTGTACACTAATCAACTACTGAACCCTCTTTCGTACAGAGCAGACATAACCGTTTTAAGGATGAATATTTCGGCTCAATATGACGTATTTTTCCTACATAAGGCCCAGAACATTAAAATTGAGTCATATAGATGAAATGGGCTATTTCAATATTACGATAAATGGGCCAAGAGATCCAAATTGAACTGGGTGGGACATTTCATATTCTACGAAATCAATAAGAGGGCGGCGGATTCACTAGCTAAGTTAGTTACGGGGTTATAAATTTTGTATATCCCATTGAATGTAACTGATCTTTTAGCAATAGATAGGAACTTATCATCCCCATTCTTAGGGATGTTTTGTAACTAAGCTTTAATGCTTCCTTTATAAAAAAAAAAAGAAAAAAAAAAAGAAGAGAGTGATGGAGGAAGTTTGCGTATGAAGTATGAAGCATCAGAGTTTCAGAAAAATATCTCCTTTTTGAACTCGTACGTTGTAGTAACTTTACAATTTACCCTCGAAATACCACCCTTCTCTTTTTTCCTTTTAGTATAACGATATTAAGAAGGGACAGAGCTGAAAAGGATCCGAATGAGAAATCTTACTAATTCGCTCGACTAAGGTGGTCATGCATCTTTGATCTGCAAATTCGGATAACTTATGTTATCTACAAATCTATACAATTTTACTTCTCTCATCGATATCTCAATACCATAGTAAATTCAATTAGGTCTGGTTTCACAGGAAGGATTAATGGATCACATTTTTTTTTTATATATATATATATTTTTTATTTTGATGAAAGATAACATTAGTTTCTAATTTGCTGCAAATATTTTACTTGTTGAAAGTAACGATGTATTGATAAATGACGAAATTGCATCATCTGTACAAATTAGGAGCTTAATTGTAACGTTAGCTTAGAGTGGGTGCTACCGTTTCTTATTAGTATATCACTGGCTTAGTCTGGAATTAGTGTTGCCCAACATTTTCCAGCTAGTATCTATTTAAGTATATACTTACTACTTTTGTCTTATGTTTACCAATTTTGAAACGTAAAAAACAAATCCATCATGATTGAGTAATCATAATGTCACTTGAAAATTCACACATACCCGCAGATTCATCCATAATCTTTCTTGTTACATATTCAATGAGAAATCAAATCAGAGAATTGCTTCAACTTATACAAAGGTCCAGCTGAGAGATTGAAACAAAATTCTAGGAAAAAGAAAAAAAAAGAAAAAAGCCAAATAATACCTGTGGTTCACACGAGGAGATGAGTGAGAAAAAGGTTTCCTAAATGAGGATTCTGAGGATGGACAGTTTGAAGAGCTGAAGACTGGAGAGTTTTCAGTTAGTTGTCAAATCAAAGAAGAATGGCATAAAAAAAACAGAAAAAAAAGGTGATTACGTAATTCAAAGATTCCTAAAATTGTTGGCCTCATTTAAGTTCTCCTTCTCTGCACTCACTCAACTGTCTATGTGTTTTTTAGGAATCCTCGGGGCACATTACACAAAACTCTCAGACTCATATCTCGTCATCTTACATCACCTCTCTCTCTCTCTCTTTTTTTTTTTTCCCTTCGTCTTTAATTTATAGAATTAATTAATGAGTTTTTTTTTCTCTATTTTATTATGGGGTGGCATTTCCCAAATCGGAAGCTTCTTTTTACTCAAAAAAATCCCACGATTTGGAGTAGTCCAGAGCATCATATCACTCGTGTCCGCTGATGTCCGTACAACTCACTGACTCGGGGAACCAGTTCTTCCTCCGATTGAGTACTAACTGTTAGCAAAACCCTGCACGTATTTTTGCCTTTTTATGTTAACTTCACCTCACTTTTCTTTTTAGGCCATTTCTTTCAACTTTGACTTGAATCAATCTGTGCATTTATTGTTATTATTATTTTTTCGAAAAGGGATTTTGATTTGATCGTTCGGGTCTCGTTTCTTGTCATAAAAAAAACCAAGTGTGAAAAGGGTTTCAATCAAAGCTCGACAACTATTAATTATGTTATCCAGAGAGTACTCACTGGCTGCAACTGTTGATCATCATCAATCAGTTCGATATAGCACGAACATAAACCCGTTATGGTACCTGCCACAATTGGAGTTGATGGTTTGTTTTTGTGAAATACTCGTTGTCCATTCCATGTCTCTCTCTGCTTTATACATATAACGTTACTTGATTTAATGTGTAAAAAAAAAATGACATGAAAACTATCCATACATTAATTACTTCTGTGAGCCAAAAAAGTGCAGCGCTGAGTTATGATAATTGATTTGTGCATTTTTCAGTGATTCACCAGAACTTGTCCTTGTTTTGGAAGTCTTCAGCTACGTATGGTCCAATATTAGAGTAACTGTTTTCAGTTGATTATGAAAAATGTGGAAAGTTTTTATATACCATTCCCTCTCGTTATGTATTTAAATAAGTGTTGCTAAAGAAAAACCAAAAAAAAAAAAAATCCTCCAAAATAAGTGGGTCTTATTTCCAACTGGATCTTTACTTGGGAGTAATTCCTGATTCTTTAAGAACATTAAAGATAAGAATGTATAGAAGTTTGTGGAAATTTTGGGTTATGATTATGGTGTTTGTTTGTTTTCATTAGGGATGTGGAACAAATACTTCGATCCAGATGATTAAAAAAAAAATTAAATAAAAAAGTTCTGTTTACTGAACTAAAACAAAACGATAAACATAACATTTTGGGGTATGGCACCTAGAATAGTAGAAGACAATATGAAATGGATAACCATAACAAAGATATAAATCATTTTTTGAATGCATAAAGGATCTTATATATGTTTACCATTCGAAACTAAAGAAATCTTGATTCCTATAATAATTCCCAAGAAAGATGAAGATATCTCAAGTACACTTGCAAGTAATGAAGGATGTTCCAATGTGAAACTAAGGTTAGAAAAGGAACTCCAAACTAGAATCCCTATGTGGCTCCTAAGATATGCAAAACTTGAAGGCAGAAGGCCAAAGAAGGTTATTTCTAGTGCAGCAAAAGAAATTGTATAGGGCTAACATGAAGTTCAAGTGAAACAATAAAGTTCATGCAGACTAAATAAAAAAAAAAAAAAGAAGCAGAAAATGTGCTGTTACTTGCAGAAATCTGGCTGAGAATTATAACCAGAAGACGATATTTGTATACTTAATGCATGAAGGATATTAGATCACATTTTCTGAAGATATGAATAAATCACTCAAACCAAGTTTTAATAGAAGATGATAATCAACAAACCCTTATCAAATTTCGACATACAAGGAACTAAGGATTCAAACCAATTAATACACATATGAACACCCAATAAGTGATCAGTTAGCGAGCTAAAAAGGGTAGTCCCTAAAAGATTTCCCACAGAAACAAAGCCAGAATTCCCCCCTAACAATGAAATATTATGTCAGCCCTCCCTCTGTTTTCCATCTTCCATACTGCACTGAATTAAGCTGATTACAAAGACCATTCTGGCTTTTTTCACAACTCAGTTCTTAATTATTTCCCTTGTTGAATTTCACCCCATAATTCTCCCACAAATTCTCAGCATCCATCACGAACCTGTAGGAAGAACCATCGTGAATTACATTGTTACCTGAATCATGATTAGGAGGGGAAGAGTTAGCCACTTGATCATTATTCTGAGCTTGCCTAATTGCTTGATGATCCAGTATCCCTTGATCAATTGCATGGCTTGTTACTGATTCATTTGCCAAATAACAACCAAATCTCGAATTTTCCTTCCTTTTTTTGCTGCACTTGATAAGATAACTACTAATGCTATCCCATTTTTCCTTACACATCAATGGAGTCCGATCATAACCGAAACAAGCCATCTTGGTTGCTATTTCTTCCCAAAGGATTTCCTCCGGACAACCAAGCTGGTGAAACCTTCCTTCCATGCTTGTTCTCAACTGAATCAGCCGAGTAATCTCGCATTCCGGCCAGCCATCACCTCTGATAATGCTGTTGATAGTTTCATGACTTCCATTATCATTCTGATTCTTAGTCATGCTTTGTAACTCAGCCACTACATTTTCCTGTTCATCATTGGGTAATAGTAACGCAGACTTCATCACTTCCTTTCCTGATGATAATGTCCTTAAAGCTTCCATCATAGCAGCATCACGGGATTCAATCCATGATCTCTCATTAGCCCAGAACTTGTGTTCCCGATCGACCCGAGCCGCCTCTTGTTTCCTCCATTCTTCTTCTCTAAGCACCCTTTCTTGCTCCTTCTGCTCAATGGTATTGATGATCTTTTCCAACCAAACTTCTTGCTTCTCCATCAGCTTCCTCATCTGGGAATCGATGAAATCTTTAATCTTTGCCTTCCAACTCCGCTTTCCCTTTCTCTTCCTCCTCTTCTCAACTGAATCATTAAGATCACTGTCCTCAGATGAGGTGGAATCGAATTCAGAAGAGTTGTTATTAGAGAGGCTAAGGCTATTATTATTATTAGTATTATCAGAGCTCTTTTGAGTTTGAAAAGGTACTCCAACTCCTCCTTCTTGAATGTGGCTGATGTGGTTAGCTGCATTATTATATCGAACATGATGATGATGGTTTTCTGAAGCAGAAGCAGAAGCATTATTATTGTTGCTGGTTTCACCATAGAGGGCCTCAAGTTGACGGAAGAATCTGTAGTGTTTACCATCTTGTCTCCCAGCTTTGCCTTCTTTAGTCTTTTTGTAGTACTTATACAAGTTCTCGAATTTCTCCCTGCATTTCTTCCCACTCCTTTGGTACCCATGTTCCTCAGACATGATCCTGAAATCAAGTAATCACAAAATACATATATTAACAAAATGGACCCATCATATGAAACTATCTCAAGAACCCTAGTTTTTTTTTCTTTTTTTTTATAAATGTACTAGCAAAAACTAAGAAAAGATTCAGCTTCATGTGATGATGAACGCATGTTTTTTTTTTTATTTTAAAAAAATATCATTTTCTTGGTCTTATGTTTAATACTTATGAGAAATGTTTGGGCAATACCCGAAAAAGTTATGCTAACTGCCTATTTAAGGATTGATAAAATGCTAACACTTAAAGATGAGGAAATCTTTTGCAGTGATCCAAAAATGGGTTTGGAATTCAGAGATGGAAGACGAAGTTGAGGAAGAACATAAGAGTTAGATTCTCCCTTCCCAACTCCAAGGTTGGCAGTCAGTCTCCAAAGTGTATATAATAATTTTCAGATTTTGTATAGATACGTAATCATCTTTGAAAAAACTGTTGCATTATTGTAGTACTCGTAATATTTTGCCCAAGACCAGTTCCGGTTTCTCTCCCAAGTTCTCAGTCCCTCCCAGCCCACCAAAAGTTCACAAAATCCAACAAAATTAACATCAACGAAAAGAAAAGAAAGCCAAAAAAAAAAAAAAAAAAAGAAGAGAGAGAAACCATCAAATCCTCTCGATGTGTTTTAGTAACAGGAAGATGCTTGAAACATGTGGACAAAGTGTCTTGAACAATGAAATTGATAAACTTGAAGAAAGGGATAAGATCATGAGATTATTTAGCAAATTTTGTTTTTGTTTCCCATATCAAGCAACAGCTCTTATACTGTGATTAGTGTGTGTGAGAGAGTACTGTGAGTTTTAATGTCCTTTTTTTTTCCCTTTTAATAAAAATAAAAAAGAAAAAAGAGAGGAAACTTAATTTTAATGACAGCTAGCTAGCTAGCTATAATCCTACTGAGGAGTGATTAAGTATTTGCTTTGATGAATTAGGGTATAGAAAAATGCATGTTTGTTGTAAGACATAAAATTGGTTTGGTGTGTTTGTTTTTTGATAGTACGAGGATGGAATTTAGTTACCTTGAGACTTCATCCCAGAGAGGACCTTTCTGATTGGCTTCCTTGAACTTAGGATCAAGCCTTGATCGGATCTCCAGAAGTGTAAGCGTCTCTTGCCTGGGCCACCTCCCATTTCCGCCGTCTCCCATCCCACCCAGCCCAACTCCGTCCATCTCCAGCCCACCTCCACTCATGAACCCCATCCCAATGCCTCCTCCTCCTCCGCCAAGCCCACCGCCGCCACACGGGATTGTAGAAGCTGCAGTATTAGTACTGTTAGTAGTAGAATCGGACCGAATTAACTCGAGTTGGTGATGGTGATGATGAAGGCCTCCTGGATTAAGGCCCATGTCATGATTAGTATGGCGGCCCAGACCCATAACCATGTCGTATTGGTGGTGGGCGGCGGAGGGAGTTAGATTCCTGTGGTGGTGGTGGTGGCCGGATAAGAAGTCCGGTGGAGGTGGGATTGGTGGGAAAATAGTACTCCTTCCGCCGTTGTTGTTGTTGTTGTTCATGAATTGTCTCAGATCGCCAATCCCACCATATTGCTCCTCCATTATTTTAGACTTTTTGTGTTTCTTCTCCAAGCTAACTTATGTATATATATTTCTCCAAGCTAACTTATGTATATATATTATATATATATATGTATATATATATATAATCAGAAACTATTGAGAGGAGAGAAAAGTGAATAGTAGTAATGGGATAGAGACTAACTAGAGAAAGAAGAAGAGAGAGAAGCAGAAGAGGAGGCAGTAGAAGAAAGTAGCGGCAGACCCGGATCGTGTCCTTACAACAAAAGGGCTTTGAATTTATGTACAGTACTCAATGAAAAAAAATATGGACCCATCATCTCGATCTCAATCCCACCCCATTTTTCCCCAGTTCTTCTTCCTCTTTGCTTCACCTCCATAAGTATAAATTGTGGAGTAAGTGTTTCAAGCCAATTAGACTGTACTAAGCTGGGCTCTTTCACAATTGTCGATGGTTTAATCAGCCTTTTAAGGAGCTTTTGGAGTGATATTTGTTAAATATAAACAAATCCAGTACCAAAACAGCAAAAAGAAATGGAGCTAGGTAGCTAGTAGTGTAGGACTGTATAGGTAGCTGTTTGTGGTAATTAAGATTTTTGAGAAGTATGGTTTTGGATTAGTTTATAAGTATGTAATTAGGAGCACGCAGGAACAGTAAGCACAGAGAAAATTTTGAGCAAATGGAGAAGAGACAGATGGACAACATGGACAAACTGACCATCACAGCAACCCTTTTTTGCTTACGCTTCTACAGTGTTTACCACTTGTGGCTTGTGGGGAGTTTTCTCCACAATTCAGATACACTACTAGGGTATGGAGAGCTACAATCCTACCCACAGTAGTAAAATTTAGTATCAATATACTCAACTCTCTCTCTCTCTCACCACTGCTTGTGTGGTGCTTTTTTGACCGTTCTTCTTTCTACTGTGTAATCTCTTCTTCCTAGCTACTATTTTGGGAGAAGAGACGAGATCAATATTGGATTTTAAAGGTTTGATCTGTAGTGTTTAAGTTCTCGAGTTGAGTTATGACATTGTGTTGGGGAGGACACACCTGACTAACTGATAAACGGCTAGCTTTTTTTCACAAACTGGCTAACTCAAAGTGAAAGTAACTAGCTAGATCAGAGAAACCGATTAGTTTAAACTGAAAATAACTAGCTAACTAACAGACAGAATGATTATAGCAGCAAACGAGCTAGCTATATCTCACAATCCGGCTGACTGTTTTACAAACAGAATGCTTATAGCACAACAAGCTAACTATATCTCAAAAACCAATTAGCTTAATCACATACAGAATGGTTATAACAGCAACAATCTAGCTATATCTATAAATCCAGCTAGCTAAATTACAGCAGAAGAACCAAACACCTCCCCGATTTGCAAGGATAGCCCAGGAGCATATAATTCCAAACTAAATGGAAGTATTGCAGCAACGAAACAACAATCAAAGTAAAACCTTACAAGAACACAAGGATTTACGTGGAAAACGCCCTTCGATGTGAAGGAGTAAAAATCACGAGACCAAAAGGTCTATCAAATCCACTATCACCAAATGAGAGTTGAGTACAAAGGCTTCCAGTAATAGAACAAAGATATCTAGTCCTTAACCAAGCTAAACCAAGCTACAAAAGATAGTAGAACATCAATACAAGATCGAAAGATCAACTAAACTGCAGCAATGTTCATAAATCTATAACTCCCAACCTGGACGTCGAAAACCAAAACCCTCATGCAGAGATGAAGAGTGATGAGCCTTCTAACTCCAGTAAAAATTTCAGAGCAATCCGACTCTGTTTGCCCCTTCAATCGACAAAAAAATCAGAACCAACTACAGTAAACCCTTGCTGAAAAATTTTTCCCTTTGCTACCCGTATTTTTACAGTTAAACTCTCTTCTCTCTCTCACTGTAATTTCAGCTACTGACTTGCCCCCTTTAAGTAGTCAAAAGTGGACCAAAATATTCTCCATTGGGCCTTTCTCCACATATGTTGGGAGCCCAATAATCGCAATAAATCTCTCCCCTCCCGATTATGTGGAGGAAATTGCCATCCCGGCAATACCACAACAAACTTCAAACTTCCATCTAGGAAAGACTTTAGTCATCATGTCAGCACCATTATCATCAGTGTGAACCTTTTCAAGTTCAACTAACTTCTCATCCAACACATCCCGTATCCAATGATACATTACATCTATGTGTTTAGACTTGGAATGAAAAGTAGGATGCTTACCAACATGTATTGTACTTTGACTATCACAAAGCAAAACATACCTTTGCTGTGAGCAACCAAGTTCTTTCAAGAACCTCCTCAAATACAACAACTCCTTGCAAGCTTCTGTAGCTGCAATAAATTTAGCTTCCGTTGTTGATAGAGCAACACATTTTTGCAACCTGGATTGCCAAGAAACAGGCCCCCCTGCAAAAGTAGTCAAATAACCTGAAGTGGATCTTTTGGTATCAACATCTCCAACCAAATTAGAATCAATGTACTCTGTGAGGGATGATTCACCACCTCCAAACCAAAGTTTCAAACTTGAGATGCCACGAAGATATCTCAAAATCCAATTGACTACATTTCAATGCTCTCTTCCAGGCCTGGAAAGAAACCTGCTTACTACACCAACTGAATGAGCAATATCAGGCCTTGTACACACCATTGCACATATCAAACTACTAACAATAGAAGAATAAGGAACATTTTTCATTGCTTCCTTTTCTTCATCAGTAGAGGGACTCTGATCAACTGTCAACTTCATGTGAGCTGCTAAAGGAGTACACACAGGCTTAGCTTTGTCCAGTCTAAACCTCTCAAGTACCTTTTCAATGTACTTCTCCTGTGATTGCCATAACTTCCTTGCTTCTCTGTCTCTTGAAATGCTTATACCAAGAATCTTCTTTGCTGGCTCCAAATCTTTCATATCAAAGGATTTACTCAACTCTTACTTCAACCTGTCAATCCTGGAAGCATTCTGACCAACAATAAGCATATCATCAACATAAAGCAACAAAATGATAAAATCATCAGGGGAGAATTTTTGCACAAAAACACAATGGTCACAAGTAGTTTTTTTGTAGCCCTGCTGCCTCATCACAAGTAGTTGTTTTAGGCCATACAAGCTTTTTTTCAACTTGCACACATAATCCTCTTTTCCTTTTACCTTGAACTCTTCAGGTTGTTCCATGTAGATTTCTTCATTTAGGTCACCATGAAGAAATGCAATCTTCACATCTATTTGCTCAACTTCTAGGTCAAGGCTTGTAGCCAGCCCTAACAATGTCCGAATTGAAGAAATTCTCACAACATGTGAAAAAATCTCATCAAAAGTCAACACCCTTCTTCTGACTAAACCCCTTCACAACCAATCTGACCTTGTATCTTGGTTTTGAAGAACTTTCTTCTTGTTTTAGTCTGTAGACCCACCTGTTTTTCAAGGATCTCTTACTCTTAGGTAATGGCACCAACTCAGGACTTCATTGAATCTTCCATTGCATGAAACCATTCCTGACTATCTGCCCCTTCCATGGCTTCCTCAAAGCTCTCAGGCTCTCCCCCATCAGTCACAAGGACATACTCATCATGGGAATACAAGTAGAAGGTATTCTCTCCCTGGTAGACTTTCTGAGTTCCCGTGGATCATCACTTCCCGGATTATGCAAGTTACCCATTTGCTGACCATCAGCAAATTCATCATACTGCAAATTTTCATTGGTAGAACCACCAAGTGCAGTAGGCTCCTGTGGTGTAAAATCTGGAACTGTGAGGTCATCATCAACATGAGAATCTGAACTTTTACTTTCTCAATGTCAGCAATAGTTTGGTCTTCACAAAACACCACATCACGACTACGTATGACCTTATGACCTTTTTCTCAACTGGATCATACAACTTGTAACCAAACTCATATTGGCCATAGCCAATGAAGATGCACTGCCTTGCCTTGGCATCTAACTTAGACTTCTTATCCATAGGAACATGAACATAAGCTTTGCAACCAAACACTCTCAAATGATCATAAGAGGTGTTTTTACAGTCCACACATTTTCTGGTTAATCACCCTGCAAAGCAATAGTGAGAGTCAAATTAATCACATAAGCAGCTGTGAATAAAGCCTCACCCCAAAATGACTGACGGAGCTTAGACTCCACCAACATGCATTGAACACGATTCATCAATGTCCTGTTCATTCTCTCTGCCAACCCATTCAACTGAGGCATCTTGGGTGGTGTTTTCTGGTGTCTGATCACCTATAGCCTACAACATTCCTCGAATGGTCTACGGTATTCACCACCATTATCTGTCTAGATGCACTTCAAATTTCTTCCAGTAAGTCTTTCAACTAGGGCTTGAAATTCCTTAAATTTCTCTAGCACCTGATCTTTGGTCTTCAAGGTATAGACCCAAAGCTTTCTGGAATGATCAAAAGTCACAAAGTAAGATGCACCCCAAGTGTTTTTACCTTCAAAGGACCATAAACATCTGAATGCACCAAATCCAACAAATTTGGCTACCTATAAGGATGATGAGTGTTGAAGGATACTCTAGTCTGCTTCCCTTCGAGACAATATGAGCATCAATCAAAGCTAGAATCCCTAGCTCCAGGGAGGACATTCTTTCTCACTAATACATCAAGTCCCTTAGCACTAATGTGACTTAATCTTCTATGCCACAACTCTGGTGAACATGACTTATTCACCACATTAATTGAGTCAACCAAAATTGAAGCTGGCAACACATACAAGTTTTCCTTCAATTTCATACCCTTAGCCAAAATCATGGACCCCTTGCTGATTTTCCATATTCCACCAGCAAAACCATTGCCATAACTATCATCATCAAGTCTTCTAATGGAGATCAAGTTCAACCAAACATTTGGAGCATGCTTTACATCTTTCAGTAGCACTGTGGAGCCATTGTTCATCTCTAGACAAACATTTCCAATGCCAACAACCTTGGCAATATCATTCTCAAATAACCGAAGTCACCTGCAGTATAAGTGCTGAAAAACTCCCTTCTAGAAGTAACATGGACTGCAGCCCCTGAATCACCAATCCAAGTAGAATCAGAAGCAACCAAATTAACATCACTGTCATCATACACAATGATAAGGTCATCACTGGTAGCTGTGGCAACATGACCAGAAGTACTTTCTTCAGCGTTCTTTGATTTGCTACTCCCTGCTCCATTCTTACTCTTCCATATCAAACAATCTCTCTTGATGTGAGCAGGCTTTTTACAATTAAAGCACTCTACATTCTTGTGTTTCCCTCTGGACTTGCTTCTACTCTTTTTCCTGTTGCTATGCCTACTACTTTGCTGTCTCCCCCTCTGCTCTGTAACAAAGACCTCAGTATGAGATGATACCCCCTGAATTCTTCTTCTAATCTCCTCATTGAGAATTCCACTTTTGGCATAATCAAAAGATATTTTATTTTAAGGAGCAGAATTTGTATATGAGACCCTAAAAGTCTTCCAAGAGTTTTGGCAAAGTATTCAACAACCATAAACCAAGTATCTCATCTTCAAAGGTAACTCCAACATTAGACAACTGATCCACACACCTTGAAACTCATTCACGTGATTAGAGATAGGTGTACCCTCAGCATATTTCAAATGGATCAA